GACCTGTTGTAGGCCCACCTCTTTGTTTTCTTTGGTGTAGGGCCACTCATGAGTGCAGAGCCCCACTGACTCTTAGAGCTGGGTTGTTAGGGAGACAGTCCCTCGTGGGAGCTATAGAAGCTGTGGCAGTTGGTGCATGACCATCTTTCCCCGTTAAGAATGGGCAGGGAGCCGGCCTCTGTGGCTCAGCCTGTAATCCTGTGCCTTTGGGAGGCTGAGGTGAGTGGATTGCCTGAGCCCGTGGGTTCGAGACCCGCCTGGGCAGCAAGACCTCATCTCTACAATAAATCAAAAAACCAGCCGGGCGTGGTAGCGCAGGCGGTAATTCTGGCTACTGGGAAGGCTGAGGCGGAAGGATCACCGGAGCCCAGCAGGTCGAGGCTGCGGTGGCTGGGAGCGGCCACTGCACTCCAGTCTGGGCGACAGAGTGAGACAACAACTCAAAAAAAAAAAAGAATGGGCAGGCCTGGATTTATCCCAGGGGTGGGCCAGAGGGAGGCCTATGAAGTGCCAGGCTCTGACTGCAGTTGTGGGAGAGCTGTTGTTTATTGGCATCATCAGCTTTCCGTTGCAGGTTCATTAGAAGCCAGGCTGCCAAGCAGGTGCCAAAAGTGCCAGAGCCCCTTCCTGAGGAACGTGGGAGCTACATTCTCATCCTTTTTTGGCACTGCTCCTCCAAGGGGGTGTAGACCTTGGAAGACACTCATTCAAGACCAACTGTTTGTGCTGTGATCTTGGGAGACTCGTGCATGCCCAGTCCCTTTTGCCCCCAGCCAAGAGGTTTAGGAGAGAGTTTTTGGGATCACTGTAAAAGTTGGGGCACTTGATATGTGGCATAAACCCCTTCTAGGGAGAAATGGGGAGCTGTATGTTTAAAGTCCTTTCTCTGCATTGCTCCTGGGTGACGAAGTCCCCGAAAGTGCCCACATGCCCATATAAAACTGCCACTTTTGTTTGTGGTTTAGATAGTTTCACGTATACTTTGCCCCCTCTGTTTTCGGAGATAGATTTAGGACACAGCCCCTTGAGTGGAAATTTTAAGAGGTTAGGCACTTGATGTATGTTCACACTTCTTCCACAAGGGATCAATAGACTTGGAGCTATCTCTGGGCAAGCCAGGGAGAAGGCTTGAAACATGCCAGGCTGCCCCTCAGGCTGTCAACCAGGCTAACATTTGTCTGCCTCTTTAACTTCCTGATACAAGTTAGTCAGAAGTCAGGCAGCCAGGTGGTCACCGGAAGAGTGTGTCATAGACTCCTCAGGAGAAACAGGAAGCTGTGCTGCTCTTTGGAGATGAAGACCCTGGACGTGCTTGCGTGCCTAGGAAACTGCCACATTTTCCCCATAGTCTAGAGACTCTCATGGATTTAATTCCCTTTGTTCCCAGAGTTGGTGAATTAAGAGGCCAGCCAAGGAGAACCTCAGAGCTAGAGTGTTACATATGAGTACAAATCCTCATCTTCACAGGAAGAAGCTTTGCCTTGGGAATTCCTTTTGCACATTGAATGATGGACGCAGTGCCCCAGGTGGGGTCGTGCCTGAGCCTGCCTTACCTTTTGCTACTTAGCTGATGCAGATGTTTTCTCAATTTCTCAGTAGAGGTCTCTCAACTGGTCTCAGAGGAAACTGACTCATGAATGGATGTTTATTTTGTGTAGTTGTGAGTAGAAGGAGACTTAGGAGCTTCCTGTTTCATCATGTGGCCGACATCACAGCCTCTTTTATCTCCTGCTTTCCTTTGAATGCTGTTGGCATGATAGATCTTTCTTCACCTCTTTACTGTAAATCCGTGTCTTTATATTTGATGTGGGTTTTGTGTAAACAGCTTGTAGTTTGGTCTTGTTTTTTATCTACTCTGACAATCTCTGTCTTTTATTTGGTATATTTAGAACATTGATGTTTAAGGTGTTTATTGATGTAGTTGGATTAATATCTATTGTCTTAGTTTTCTGTTGCTATAACTGAATACCTAGGACTAGGTAATTTATTTAAAAAAGGAATTTCTTTTTCTTTTTTTGAATTGGAGTCTCACTCCGTCGCCCAGGCTGGAGTGCATTGGCAAGCTCATGGCCACCCTGGTGTCAAGCTGCTGGGCTCCGGCAATCCTTCCGCCTCAGCCTTCCAAGTAGCCGAAACTACAGGCGCATACTACCACACCCGGCTAGTTTTGATTTACTGTTGAGACGAGGCCTCGCCAAGTTGCCCAGGCTGGTCTCAAACCCACGGGCTCAGGCATTCCACTCACCTTGACCTCCTAAAGTGCTGGGATGACAGGCTGAGCCACCGAGCACGGTCTAGGAATTTATTTCTTACAGTTCTGGTGAATGGAAAGTCCGAGACAGAGGGGGCACGTGTGGCGAAGGCCCTCTTACTGGTGAGGACTCTGCAGAGTCATGAGGTGGCACAGGCCATGACATGGTGAAGGGGCTGAGTGTGCTAGCTTGGGAATTTCTCCTCTTGTAGAGCCACTAATGCCCGCTTTCACAATCTGCCCTAATTCTCATTACCTCCCAGAGGTCCCACCTTTCATGTACTATAGTCAGGCTTCCTGCCCTTTTACTACTGTTACTTACGGATTTCTGCTCAGATAAGTTGTGTTTCTCTGTATTTACCTGATGGTCTTTAATTTGGGCGCAGTGATTTGTCCTATGGCCTTACTTCTACATGGGTCTAAGAAGAGTTGTTGATTTTTTTTTCAGTTTGTTTAGCTTTTTACTTGTTGGGATGAAGGAGTGGCTTCTAAACTCCTTACACATTAGACTGGAAACCAGCACTCATAATTGTTTTCTCCCATCTTTAAGCTTTATAGTTAAGCATTTTGTACATGTACATACATGCAATGTAAGGTCAAGATTAATTTTTTTTCTTGTGTAAAGATATTCAGTTACTCCAGCATCATTTGTTGAATAGATTATTTTTTAAATTGAATTTCCTGTGTATTTTTATCAAAAATCACTTGACTTTATATATGTGGGACTACTTTTGGGTTGTGTTCTGTTCCAGTAACATGCTGAATTGATTACTGTAGCTTTGTAACAAATCTGGAAATCACATCATGTGAGACCTCCAAGGGTGTGTTTCGGTTTAGCTCTTTTATTCCCTTTGCTTCTCTGTATAAATTTTGGAATCCCCTTGTTGATTTCTAAAAAAGCAAAGAAAAAAACCACTCTTCTGGGATTCTGTTTGGAATTTGAACTATATAACAGTTTGGGAAGAATTGACATCTTGAAGATACTGAGCTTTTCAGTTAATTCCATGAACATGGGAGATCTCAATTTGACTGTTTTCTTGATTTCTTTTATTGGTATTTTGCAGCTTTTTTGCATATAGATCTTGCATATATTTCAGAGGACTTATAAACAAATATTCTTTATTTGGGGGAGTTACTATAAGTTGTATCATTTTCAATTGTAATTTCTAATTGTTCATTTTTAACGTCGGAATAAGTTTTGTATTGACTAGCATCCTGCAACTTTGCTATACTCATTCATTAGTTCTAGTAGGTTTTTAGATTATTTGGAATTTTCTACATAATCATATTGTCTATAAATTTGAACAGTTTTATTTTTTCCCTAGTCAGTCTTTATGGTGTTTGTTTCTTTTCTTGCCTTATTTCTCTGGCTAGAATCTCTAATGTGATTTTGAATAAGCATGATGAGAGAAGCTGGGCTGGATGGCTCAACCTGTAATCCCAACACTTTGGGAGCCTGAGGCAAGTGGATTGCCTGAGCCTGTGGATTTGAGACCAGCCTGGGCAACTTGGCAAGACCTTGTCTCTACAATAAACCAAAAATTAGCTGGGAGTGGTAGCACATACCTGTAGTTCCAGCTACTTGGACGGTGGAGGCAGAAGGATCGCTGGAGCCCAGCAGGTCAATGCTGGGGTGACCATGAGTGTGCCACTGCACTCTGGTCTGGGCAACAGAGTGAGATTCCAACTCAAAAAAAAAAAAGAGTGATGAGAGAAAATAACTTGCCTTTTTCTGATCTTGGAGGTAGAGAAGAGGGAATCATTCAGTCTTTTATCATTATGTTAGCTGTAGGATTCTCTTTTTTTTGAGAAAACAAGATTTATTGAGAGGACAGAAAAGCTCCCACAGTGGGAGGGGACCCAAAGGGGTTGCCCGAGCTATAGGATTTTCTAAAATGCCCTTTATCAAGTTGAAGAAGTCCCCTTCTCATCGTAGTTTTTTGAGAATTTTCTCAAAAATGGTTATTGAGTTTTGTTTTTTAATGAAAAACTTCAAGGAAGCATATATTTTTGAAAAATTTGTGCTTGCATAATTTTGTCCTGTGTAATCACCAGCAATCTCTTATGTCCCCTGAGGAATCATCTGAGTCGTTGGCTGGTTTATGATGTCCCCTCAGAGGGGACATCTGAGTGCAAAGGGTTAGGAAACTTGCCTATAATCCAGCAGCCAGAATGACAGATCTAGGATTCAGATCAAGTCTTGTTGACTACAGAGCCTTTATTTTGATCACTCTGCTTTATTGACTAGTATGAAGGGCAAGTCAAAATTAGTAAGACACATGAAGATAAGCCCTTTCCACATACCACAGTTGAGAGCAAACACTTCGTTTTCCTCATTGGAGCATAATAACTTCTATTCTCTATCATTGGATCCTTTCCTATAAACAGCATATAGTACAGGACCTCTTGTCATAGGGTCTCTGGAGATCTGTTTACTTATTCCAAATTTAGAGCACTAAGTCAGGGCACCTACAAGGAGAGACAGATAATGTGGTGGCAACTGGTTGCTACAAAATCCTGGGCAGTGCATCATAGATTTTTAGATTTTTAGAACAGAGGAGCTTCTGAGGCCTTCCACTGACTAGATATGTGAAGTCATGATCCTGGTACCATCCATTCTTGGCAGACCCTTCAAATAAAAGCCTTGACTATATGCCTTTCTCTTTAAAATTCTGGCATTTCTTCCTCTTCATAGATTTGAGATATGCTTTTGAAAGTAAAAGCTGATGGGGCTTGCTTGTTTCCTCAGGTCTGACGGTCACTGCTGTGAAAGACTCAGGAGAATGGAATTTGGAGGCTGGGGCCTTAGTACTTGCAGATGCGGGCCTTTGCTGTATTGACGAGTTCAACAGCCTCAAAGAGCATGACAGAACCAGCATCCACGAAGCAATGGAGCAACAGTCCATAAGTGTTGCTAAGGCTGGGTAAGGGTTTCTTTTCTTTGGACTCTCTGGAAAGAGTGACATTGTGGGAAAACATGAACCTTGTTGAACTGCAGGGACTGTTTGATTCTCTCAGGGACTGTCAGTTGTTACTCTTTAAGACACACATTTAAGTGTTTCCTTATTAGACCAAGAGGTAGCTGAGGAAATAAAAATGAGTTATTGGGAAAAAAGAAGGAAAAAAGAAAGGTCCAAATGTAGTTTAGCTTAACTAATGGGGATTTGCGAAGAACTTTCAATGCAGGATTCAACTCATTCTCTCTTTCATTCAATAAATGTTATATTTGTACTCTGGACATATCACTGTGTTAGGAAACTTGAAAAATGTAAAAAGAAGAAAAAAGTCATAGTTTGTGGCATTCTCATTATACATCCTATGGGATCCTGATGACCGCATATGAAAACTAAGTAATAAATGGTAACATCATTGCCTGAGACTGTGGGTTCGAGACCGCCTGGGCAACTTGGCGAGACCTCATCTCTACAATAAATTAAAAAAAATTAGTTGGGCATGGTAACGCGTGCCTGTAGTTCCAGCTACTTGGAAGGCTGAGGCAGAAGGATCGCCGGAGCCCAGCAGGTTGGGAGGTCGAGCCTGGGGCGGCCATGAGCATGCCGATGCACTTCTGCCTGGGCAACAGAGTGAGTCTGACTCAAAACAAAAAGACCTTAAAAATGCATTTCTAGGCCGGGCTTGGTGGCTCAGCCTGTAATCCCACGCTTTGGGAGGCTGACGTGAGTGGATTGCCTGAGCCCGCGGGTTCGAGACCCACCCAGGCAACTTGGCGAGACCTCATCTCTACAATAAATCAAAAAACTAGCCAGGTGTGGTAGCGCGTGCCTGTAGTTCCAGCTACTTGGAAGGCTGAGGCAGAAGGATCGCTGGAGCCCAGCAGGTCGAGGTTGCAGTGACTGGGAGCGGCCACTGTACTCCAGTCTGAGCGACAGAGTGAGACTCCAACTCAAATAAATAAATAAATATAAATAAATGGTAACATCTGTTGGCATGAGACACAGTCCCTGTCATGACTCAAGGAGGCTCAGGATTGAGACATGAGAGTCCTCGACTGCAAACAGCCCATGGGGAGGAAAGTGAAGTCAATTCAGACAGAAATTCATTCAACGGGCTCTGAGGTGGTTATGGGGAACTTACCTAGCTACCAATGCTGGCCACCAAACAGGCTACCAGTCACTCAAGCAACAACAGGGCTGGAACTGTCCCAACCTTATCACTGCTATTAGGTGTGATGCCTACTAGCCAAGCAGATAAGGCTGCCAGCGGTGTCTTCAAGTAGTATCAAGCACTTGGGAGTCAGGACGACACTGATCTACATGCATTCTGTGAGAGCTATTTATACACACTAGCAAAAAAAAAAAGTCAAGGGGAGTGAGGGAGAGCAGGATATAGTCCACAGAAAAAGGGTACAAAAAAGAACTAGGCAGAGTCATTATCAGATCTATTCATTTGTTTGTTCAATATATATATATATTTCTTTTTCTTTTTTTGAGTCGGAGTCGCACTCTGTCGCCCAGGCTGGAGTGCAGTGGCATGCTCCCGGCAAGTGCAGCCTCTACCTACTGGGCACTGGTGATCCTTCCACTTCAGCCTTCCAAGTAACCGGAACTACAGGCACACACTACCATTCCCATCTAATTTTTTGATTTATTGTAGAGATGAAGTCTCACCACGTTGCCCAGGCTGGTCTCGAACTTACGGACTCAGGCAATCCTCTCGCCTCAGCCTCCCAAAGTGGTGGGATTATAGGCTTGAACCACTGCGCCCAGCCTAAATATATATATTTTAAGAACTGCTATATGCCAGGCACTGTACTAGACAACAAGAAGTACAAAAATGAGTTGAATATTGTCATTGAGGTGTTCATTTTTTTATTAGGAAAGATAGACAAAAATGCAGCAAAGTGATAAGTCCATAATAAAAGTATTATGAGAGAACATACTTAGGATAATTATTGCTTCTAAGCTCTTTAGCAGGGGAAACTAGAGATATAGTTTATTAAGTGTCTTCAAAGGCTGCTTTCTCATTATGTCTTCATTTAATGAACTTTTCATACTATCAATGAGTGATAAGGCCAAAGTCAGTGTTCTGTTGCTGGACAGTTTACATATGACATCAAGAGGTTGGGCAGTCTTGTTGGAGCTACAACTGCTTTGTGCCCTGAAGCAGTAGTTTTCACACTTCTGTGGTGAAGGGCTAGTGCTTTTAAGTCCTTCACAAAGCCGTATTTTTATGTAACACAATAAAAATGAGTTACTAAAAAAAAAAAGTGAAATGAAAAAGCAAAGACATACAAAATGCAAACCTAAATTCTTCTTCTAATTAGGATGTAAATAACTATAAGAACATGCTGCTTCCATTCTAACAAGAAAAATTCAGGTTAGCAAAGAAAATTTACAACTTTCCTTGAATTTATTGTAGAGCTGAGGTCACAAGGAAAACAAGGAAACTTAATTCCAAAGTGTGACACAACCCTCCAAGGGGGAGCTAAAGCACACAGACTGGTTCACCTTTGACAGTGTGTGGAGGAAGAGGTGCCTGCCACTGAAGCAAATACAAGGAAACAAATTTGTAGAATTCCCTAAAATCCAGGCATGGGCTAGCATGTCAATTTAGAATAACTGGGAGCTCCAAACACAAGGGGAGTCGTCATTCACTTACAGGCTCTTCTCTGGTCTCCACGAGATGCTCACAAGAAAAACTGGGCAGGGCAGAAGATCCAAGAGACCCTCTCCCCACCCATCTGTCATGTAAGCATAAACAGGTGATGGCTGCTGGGGAGTGGGTATGGAACACTGCCTGCTTCCACAGATAATCTCTTGAATGAAGCCAAAAGTTTACAACATAGGGGCCTAGGGCCTCTGAGGAAAGGTGGAAGCAAAAAACCCTTCTGCTCTGAAAGAGGATAGAATCCTCCTTGCCACTCCTTGGAGCCAGGTGAAAGGGCACTACTTCGAGGAGAATGGTAGAAGCAGAGCTATTTCCCCCGGAGAGAAGGGCTGAAAGCTGCCTTGCGTTGAGGATGCTGAACCAATGCAGAGCAGAGGTCTGCCATCATCGCCTGAGGGGCAGGAAACCCCTTCTTCCCAAGAACCATTGCAAATCCATGGCAGGGGTAAGCTGCCACAGGTGGGAGGAAGGCTCAAAGGGCATACACGTCTGCAGTGGGTCTGCAAGACCAGGCACGCAGACCCTGCCTCAGACCAGGAGACCAAGAACCGTTCTGGCCTCAACATGGGCCTCGCTCTGAGTAACCACCAACAGCAGTCTCCAGCTGGGCAAGGAGCAGGAGTGTGGGGAGAGACCCTTTCTGTGGTGCAAGTGTGCAGTGACTGCTGAAAGCTGAAGGTGGAACAGAAACTCTGAGAATAATCTTGCAGCACTGTGCTACAACCCCTACACTGAGCCCAAGGTGATGCCGGCTCAACACTAAAAGGATCTGAAGTATGTGGCGTGGTAGGGTAAGGACGACAAGAAAAGTACCCGTGTCCAGTTGACTATGATTGCCTTATAGACGCCAGTGCCTTGCTGATGCGCTTTTCTGGGTCTGAACTCCATCACCTCGATCCCTGCTGTTCTTCTTCATACAGTGCCTGTCATCAAATTAGAAATTGCAAGATACACAAAAGCAAAGAAAATGGGGGGAGGAAGGACGGGGAAAAGGAGAAGAAAAGATTTTATTTCCAAAAGAGAAACCATTGACAGAAGGAAACTTAGTGATGACATAGATGTTGCCATTGTAAGACAGGGACTAAAATAACCACAGTTAATATGTTAAAGTGTCTAGTGGAAAAGGTAAACGGCATGAATGAAGAGTTGGTGGGTTTAGGCTGAGATGGAAACTGGTATTTTAAAGTCAAAGACAAATGCCAGAAAATATAAAACAAAACACAGTGTTAGAAGTGAAAAATGCCTTCAACAGGCTTTTAAGCAAACTGGACCTTGCTTGGAAAAGAGTCAGTTAACTTATAGGTCAATGAAAATTACCCCAAATAAAACAGAAAGAGTAAAAAACTAAATGGAAACATTAGCCAAGTGGTATGAGATAATGCCAGATGGTCTAACACATATGTTATTAGAGTCACAGAGGGAGGGAGCGAGAGATAGCAGCAGACAGTGGGGCATGAGGAATATTTAAAGGGGCAGTGGTCAGCCAGGCTCGGTGGCTCAGCCTGTCATCCCTCGCTTGGGGAGGCTGAGTTGAGTGGATGGCCTGAGCCCGCGGGTTTGAGACCCATCTGGGCAACTTGGTGAGACCTCATCTCTACAATAAATCAAAAACTAGCTGGGCGAGGTAGCGCATACCTGCACTTCCAGCTACTTGGAAGGCTGAGGCGGAAGGATCGCCGGAGCCCAGCAGGTCGAGGCTGTGGTGGCCGGGAGCGCCCACTGCACTCCATCTGGGCAAGAGGGAGACTCCAACTCAAAAAAAATAAAGAGGCCATGGTAAAAAAATTTACAAAATTATTGATAGATTTCAAAATACAGATTCAGAGAGCTCAGAAAACTCAAGTCGGATAAATATCACACACACACAGTATCTGGGTACATCATAGTCAAGCTACTAAAATCCAAATATTGAGAAAAGTCTTTAGAAGTCAAAGTAGGGGAAATATTTTATAAAAAGAACAAAGAAGAATTGAAAATAAAAAAGTTGTCAATCTAGGAGATATCCTTCAAAATTGAGGGCAAAATATTTTTTAAACAAGCAACTCTACTGTTCAAAAAATTTTAAAGAAATTTCTTTAGACAGTAATAATATGATTACTAATGAAAATCTGGTTCTACACAAAGAAATGAAGAGCACTGAAAATGGCAGACTATAAGGGTAAGTAGAACTTTTTGAAATCACCTTAAAAAATAATTGACTGGCCAGGCTCGGTGGCTCAACCTGTAATCCCAGCACTTTGGGAGGCCGAGGTGAGTGGATTGCCTGAGCCCCGGGGTTCAAGACCCGCTCAGGCAA